ATAGGTCATGGGTGATTCGGTTGATTTGTTTTTAATGATCTCTGGTTCTTTGTTTGCCAGCTCGTACTGGAGTCTCCAGTTGCTTTGAGTAGAATGTGAACCAGTGATCCTCATTCTTACAGTAGTTGCCTTCTCATTTTCTTTCTGCCTGCTGTGCTGTGGTCCTCCCTGGGTTATTCATGCAGTGAAGATATTGTAATCAGTTGCTTCTATCTGAATGTGCTTTACAAAGAAAAGAAATGGCCTCAAATATGAATTTTCCCTGGGAGAATTCCAGTTCTCCTCCCAGTTGCTTGTGTTCCTTTTCTTCTCTTTGTTCTCCAGAGCCAGTTGACAAGTTTAAACGACTAAAATGATCAAGCAGTAGAACCAATTATCAGCAGTATTTATAGGTTTTTTCTAACACAGTCTTTTAAGTTTTTTCCTTTCTTTCTTTTTTTTTTAATTAAATCCTTCTTATAAAAATCTCAGGAAATAGCATGGTAAGGTAGTGTCTTAGAAAAATTATAGAACTGTTTTTGTCAAAATTAGTAGCAATTCCCACTGGATTTCAAGGCGTTTATTTTTGTCGAACTCATCTTGTTATTGTCAGATAAATGAGATAAGGCATGTAGAGGCCCTGGAACATGGTAAGTACTTAGTATATTTTAGCTATTATTTCTACATTTGCTTTCCTTTTTGCCTTAAACTGTTAAGTTCCTAATTCATCCTCTCTCTTAAGAAGTAGTCTACTATAAAACTCATATTTGGTTACACTGCATGTCTGAAACACACCCTCTCCTCTCTTGTCCTACCCACCTCATACCCATTGCCGTTGAGTCGATTCCGACACATAGTCACCCTATAGGACAGAGTAGAGCTGCCCCACAGGGTTTCCAAGGAGCACCTGGTGGATTCCAACTGCTGACCTTTTGGTTAGCAGCCAAACTCTTTACTGCTATGCCACCAGGGTTTCCCTTCCACCACATAGGGATGTAAAATGTGGCTCCACCAGCATAATATTCTAAGCCCATCATTCTCCCAGAAACTGTGTTATAAAGCATTGGCAGGGTTTGGGTCATTCTTTGGTATCTGAACTTTTATATGGAACAACCCTATAAATCAAGAAAGATTTCGTTTGTAGAAAGAGTTCTGCTACCTAAATAAAAAAGTTTGAAAACCATTGCCTTAAATCTTGAACCTGATAGTATTGTATTATGTTTAGTTTGTGGGCAGTTACGAGGAAAAATGAAGCAGTGTTGTTTAAATCTTTGAACATTTTAGAAACTTAATGAACAAAAAATCCGTGGTAGTTAATACTTAAACTTTAAAAAATATTACATTCCCTCACCTCTCTAGATCATCCAGCTATACGACTTAGGTTATTTTTGTCTCAGACCCAAGAGGGAATGGCCTGGATAAACTATTCCTGGACATCATTCTGTGATTGAAGTTACATACATATATAGTGCATCTGCTCAGAGCCTGACATATAAAATTTTGGTATTTCTTCCTTCTAATCTGAGAGTATCCTAACGGCAGAGGTAGCAGAGAAGTGTGCAGTAATAAGTCAGGGTGAAGTATCTAGAATTTATTTCAGCTATCTTGAGAGGGCTATCATATTAACAATATATCATGACTGTATGTTGCTCAACAACTTTGGTATGCTGTCAGATAGTGAAAGAAATTAGTGATTCTAATGAGCTGTTGTGTTTTGTTCTTTTTCTTGGTTGGTCCCATTTTTTCCTACCCTAAAATCTAGTTCCAACAGAAGTGTAGGTGTCAGACTATTTCATGGAGGTACCATTAGGGGCTGGCTACTACTGGGAAAGGTAGTTGGGGTTAGTGTTAGGGAGAAAAAGATCAGCTAGACTCAATCTACTTTATCTGTTCCAAATAAGAGTTTATTTGAGAACAAAGTTTAAAACTTACTGTGGTAGAACATATAAATTTTTGCTAACTCATTGCCCCCGTGGGCTAAACTTGAACTTGGATCTCACGTTCTTTGGAGGAGGAATGAGACTGTATTGCTGTTTGAGTCTATCAGCATTCCAGAGGCTCTGGGCTCTATTTTGGAATGAAGAAGTGATTCTCGTACATAACCAGATTTTTTGCTGCAAAGGCTGATGTATTATTAGAAATTATATTGCCTAACATTTGAATAATGTGTTTTAGTTTTTCAGAGGACACAAAGCAGGTCATTAAATTGTCTTCTAGAGCCTTTTTTCTTCTGGAAATATGTTCAGTAATTAAAACAAAAAACACTGAACTCTCAACATACACAAAGTTAAAGGAGATAACAAATCATTAAAATAATTCCACAATTTACTGAATTTAAATTTTAAGATGACTTCAGAGTCAAGATTATAAATGAATAGAATGGTTTAATGTAGCATAGTGCTAAGTTATATATTCCTTATATTTTCTTCTGAAATTGTTAAGAGTTGGTCTTCATTTCTTAACCCTAGAGGTTTTCTGACTACAAAAAGCCTATGGGAGTTTTTTACTTCTGAGATTTTTTAAAAAAAAATAGACATTTCCCTTTCACTTAAGCCAGATTTGGGATATAGGACTAACATAGAGAATGTGAACCTACTAACACAGGAAGTAAACATATTTGTCAATTTCAGCATCTTTCCTACTCCGGACTCTGGAGCCAGACCACCTGGAGTTTGGATCCCTGCTCTGTACTTAGCAGCTGTGCGATCTTGGGCAGGTTATTCGTGTGTATAGCGTGTAGGGCATAAGAGGGAGTGGTAGGAACCGAGACTGGAGAGGTAGGTAGGATACAAATAACAAAGGGTCTTTTATAATATATAAGAATTTGAATTCCTGTAAGTAGATAGAAGAATTATAAGCAAAGAATTACATGATCAGATTGTGCTTTAAAATATTACTCTTGGTACCATTTAAAGGGAGGTGAGTTGCAGTAAAATAGAATCGGAAGCAGTAAGGAGGTTGATGCAGTGATTTAGGTGAGACAAGTAAGGAATAGCATTAGGGGTGAAGAGGAAAAGATGAATTTGAAAGAGATTTAAGTGTTAATTGTAGATAAGATTCATTGACTGCTATATATGGAGAGGGGGAGGGAAGAGTCCAGGTTAATTTCTGTCTTGGACAACTAGATTTACTATGGTGCCATTAACCAAGATTGAGTTTTGGAGGATGGCAAAGGGGTAGAATAAAAGTTTGCAATTGAAGGTCATGAGAGAATGAGATATCTAATAGGGTCTGGAGCTTAAAATAGATGTCTAGTGTGAGCTTTTATATATATGTACGTATATATACACACACATATATATTTGACTGTATTTATATATTTATTTACATGAATTGACCATTCCACCCTTTGTGGAATGTGCGGCAAAAGCATCACAAGTATAGATTTTGGGGTTACGAACAAATTTTAGCAAGCAGGCATATTTGCAAATACAGAATCCGTGAATAATGAGGAGCAACTGTAACTGTCTTTTAAAATGTTTAAAGAATTGGGAAATACTGGCTCAAAGAACCAGTAATCATTTTGAGTTAAATATATCTAAAATAGAACTCATCATCTTTCCCCCAAACTTGTTTCTTCTCCTGTTATCATCTGACCAAATGAGCAACCACACTTTGTGTTACCTGTGTGCTCTGTATCAGCCTTATAATGCCTATAACCCTACTGGATTATAAACTCCATGAGGGCAGAGGTCACTTGTTACATCCCTGGCGTTCAGAATAGTGCCTGGCATGTAGTTAGTGTTTAGTAAACATTTGAATGAATGCCACTTTATTTTGCTTCTTTATTTATACATCAGTTTCCTTTTACATAAGCTTATATATTTTGATGATACTTGTAACTATAGGAGTGGATGAGTTTATAGGAATAAGGTGAGGGGTGAAAAGAGAGATGAGAACAGAACCCTGGGGAACTCTGAAGATGGAAAAAGAGTGGCCAGGGAAGAAAGAGGACCAGAATTATTGTATTGAGTAAGACTTTTGTTATCCACTGCCTCTTTTGTCCCTGTTGCTCAAGTCTTTAACAAAAGACTAAAGCCGGGAAAGGATTGGGATGTGGACAACCAAGCAGGGCATGGCTTCTGGATTGGTTAGCCTGTTTAAAGGAACTTTTCACTACTGAATGCAAAACTCTACCCCCTAAATGTTTACTGTTCCCTTACTGAAAACTAGTACTCTAGGCAAGTGTCTGTGCTGCACCCTTATTCATGTCAGTCCTGTCTTGACCTTGTCTCCTGAGCTTACTTCTTTGCAGTTATGACCACAGCCAGTACTTCATTTTTATGCCTAATAGATGTAATTTCTAACTCCTGTGTATTACCAAATTCAGACCCTTAGTTGAACTGATAAACATGAAAGCTACTAATAATACATCCACCACCCATCTGTCAGTTTGTTGTACTATGATGTGGGAAGCTATGCCACCAATATTTCAAATACCAGCAGGGTCACCCATGGACAGGTTTCAGTGGAGCTTCCAGACGAAGACAAACTAGGAAGAAAGGCCTGATGATCTACTTCTGAAAATTAACCAGGGAAAACCTTATCAATCACAACAGAATATTCGATGTAGTGCTGGAAGATGAGCCTCCTAGGTTGGAAGGCACTACACAGTAGCCGCAGCAGTGGACTCAAACATACCTGCAATGATCATGAAGATGGTGCAGGACTGGGGAATTGTCACATGTTCTATTACACATAAGGTTACCATAAGTCAGAGCCAACTAGACTGCAACTAATCACAACAACAGTAATATACATAGGAATGACCAAAAGTGGTGTTCAGTTAAAAGTAGAAATTGTTACCTACAGAATAAGGCCATATAAATATACACATAGGGAAAAAGAACTTCGTAATAATTTACTGATAGAGAAATTCAGTATCTAGTATATTTTTACATTTCTAAGAGACAAATTTTCAAAGACCAGTGAGTGGATTATTTAGCAATATAAAGTTCAAAGTTTAGAACAGTTTAAATGATTTTTTTCAGTCTTAGCTTTATTTGTTTATTTATTTATAGCTCTGAAGATGGCTGTGGTAGATATCTATCATTCCAGGTTAAAGGAGAGACAAAGGCGGAAAAAGTAAGTATAGAAAATTATCCTGCCTTCTTTCAGCTTTGGACTATTTACAGCACGTAGTTGACAAAAACATCCTACCTGTGACTCATTTCGTGACCACAGGAAAAACACTTACCCTCCTTGGGCCTCAATTTTTCCGTTTGTCAAATGGGGATAATAATTCCCACCCTGGTTTTTTTTTTTTTTTTTTGGTTTTTTTTTTTGGTACTTAAGGTGAAGGTTTACAGAACAAATAGTTTCTCATTAAACTGTCAGTACACATATTGTTTTATGACATTGGTTAACAACCCCACGACATGTCA